GTATTTATTATTTCTTAATAATCAAAAACCTAGAGAAAGAACGAAAAGTCATCTCATCTTCAAATTGGAATGCTTCAAGAAAACATTAACAAGAAGGGAAAAAGTGAGAAAAAAATAAAAGAGAACAAGTTGGGACAACACCATGTATGAAATACAGTCAAACCTGTGTAAGACGGCCACCCATTATCAAGGAGAAAAGTGGTCGTATAAGACAGGTGGCCGTCTTAGGCAGGACTGATCAAGATGAAGAAAACAAACCATTCCCATCTGAAGTCCCAATCGAAAGTAGCTGCGTTGTTGTTGTTTTTGTTGTTGTTGGTTTATATTTTGTTTGTTATTTTTATTTTTTTGCTGATTTTGCGCAAGGGTGACAATAAAACGAAATGTATCGGACGAGGAAGACCGAGTGCCATGTTAAAACAAACACGTGGGTCGCCACCACTCGGAGATGAGAGACGCTTCTGTCGCAAGTTCATGTTGACGTCCTTTGTTACTTTGTTACAGACTGGGTAAACAGTGACCACTCATCTCACTTACGATTTGAGAAATGAGTTCTGGGCGGGGCTTATGGGTTACGAGGGATCACACGCTATCCTCACCAGCAGCTGAAAATTGGTAGCTATTGGTCAACGGTGGGAGGGGCCTATGCAACATGTTCTGTTGGAGGGACTACCTAACAACAACAAGTGATTGGATTATGACGGCTCGCCCACAACGCCCGGGGCCAGTGCACAATTTATGACAAAATGTAATGGAGTCACTAAGGTGGCCGTCTAAGACAGGTGTTTTTGCTCAGTGCGGTAGGGGTTGTGTGTTAAATTATGGTGGCCGTCTAAGACAGGTGTTTTTGCTCAGTGCGGTAGGGGTTGTGTGTTAAATTATGGTGGCCGCGGCCGCTTTGGACAGGTGCCCGTCTTACACAGTTAAATTATATAGAAAAAACACAAGGGGGGAAATGGAAAGTGACCGTTTGTACAGGTGGCCGTCTTATAGAGGTGGCCGTCAGGGCAGGTTCGACTGTACATTGAAAAACAACGCATTAAATGGCCCACGTGGGCCAATAAGCCCCAGCTTATTTGCCCATGTGGGCCAATAAGAGCAGCCATATATACTATCGAATTTTTCAAAGTGGCTATTCGGATATGAAAAAATGTATTCAGACTCTGATTCCTGTCCAGCATGACATCACTTCCGACTTCGGACTTCCTGTGACTCGTGACTCGGGCTTCCTGTCCTGCCTCACTCGTGACTCGCCTCAGGCTGGGTAGAGACCGGGATCACTTCCGGAAAAATGGCGTTTTGTGCAGGAGCAGAGTTTTTATCTTATATGATGAATTTGAAGCCGGCCTGAAAAGTTATAGCGCTTCTAATAAATGTTTATTTGTCAAAAGGTCATCAGAAGCAATTAAAGATGGCAAGATCGTTACCGTGTGTTGGGGTCGGATGGACGGCCTGCACACGTGTGGCTGTGTGTGTGTGTGTGTCGGGGGGGGGGGGGGGGCAGTCTTTTTTCCCCCGCCACTCTACACAGCAACACAAATTTTTCTTGGTAAACAATCGAGATGATACAGGCTTGTGTATTTGAACGAATCGGTCTTTTTTTTTTTACACAGCTCATAATAATATGCAGGTGCCAGGTGGTCTGCTAATCTTCAATTTTACCTTTTTCTACAACAAACAAAGTGGGAAACATGGGGGGTGGGGGGTCGTATCAATGAGACGGCGGGCATCGGATTGGCAGATAAGGCGTGGGGGAAACTAAAAAATGGCGGAAAATTGGAAGCACTGAACGTTAGATCCTATAGAACGAAGACACTTCCTTTTTTCCGGACCAGAGTCCGAATAACATTTTTTCATATAGTCCGAATAGGATTTTTTTAAAATTCGGACTTGAGTCCGAATATGAAAAAAAATATATTATTCGGACTCGAGTCCGAATAAAGACGGCCATATACTATACACCCCAAAAATTTCGTCAACTGACTCTCGGGGGTCCATTGAGTTTGAGCTCACTTTTTTATCTTAAAAGATAGGTCAAAGTCCTCACATGGATCCCCAGTTCAAACAGGTTTGTACTTGTGAGCCAAATTTCAGGCTGTTCTTTCTGGCACATATATGGAATTCTTCTGCACTAAGAAACTAGTTTGAAAATCCAAAATGGCTGCCACAGAGCCCCATTTTTTTTTTTAATTAACAAATTCACCCTTCATCCTATTTACATATAAACTTCTTGCAAAGTTACATGAAAGTGAATAAAAGTCATTCATTTAGAAAAATTTTCCGGGAGTGTACATCTCCAGCCGCTCAAGATTGTTGCGCAATAATTATTCGAAGTGACTATTTCTCCGAACGTTCGGAGAAATAGTGCCGATCTTAATTTCTCCGAACGGTTTCCGGCCTCGTGATTTTTTGCCTATTTATTGCGAGAGTTCGGCACCAACTTTCCTTCTGCCTCTGGTCTGGGATTGGGAAGGAACACCGCATGGCAAGCCCGCCGACAGACAACCTTCAGTAACACCCACCACCATCATGCACATGTACACACACAAACTTATACACACACTAACTGAACATGATCAGTGGGCAACTTTTGAATGTATGACGAGCTGAGCTGTGAATGGAGAGACAGTATGAGTGAAAGAGCAGGTGAAAGGAAGAATGTACGAGTGTATCCACAGGCGACAGCAACTACAAGACGACGACACCAATCCCCCTGGCCTGGTCCACAGCTCACGAATGAAAGGAATGCAGGTAAGGCAGTGTTTTGCCTATATTATTGTCCATGGTTCGCAGGGAGCAAGGGAATGTGTGAGATTTTCTTTGTGTGTGCCTGGAGGGAGGGGGTGGGGTGTGAAAGTCATGCGGACGGCGATGAGCCGCGGGAGAGAACACGGGAATTGAATGAATGAGTGAAACTGAAAGAGAGGAACGACTCATGAGCCCTGGAGTGCAGGGATCCTGTGTTTCTATTTTTGTATACTTTGAACTGTTACTGAATATAGCCCGAAAAACAAACACACGCATGCTCCTCACTCTCCACTTACACACTTTACTACCACACACAGACACACTCACACACGCACATGCATACACGCACACACACACACACACACACACAGAGGAGCAAATTTTTAGGTCTATATCTATTTCAATTTTCAAGAGCTAGTCTGGCTAGTCTAGAGTTTTTTAGATGAGTGTAAAAACGTGAAAAAGAAAATAGAAAGGTTTCACAACAGAATGAAATCAAAATTAGAACAGCCCATAAACAACCACAAAAATTAACAAATAAGGGCGTGAGTCCACCTGTCCGAAGAAGATTGGCTGTTTTAACACAAAATGTGCGTAATTTTAAAACAAAGTACAGATTACAAGTAAATTATGGAATCGCACACATATAAGGGGCCTGCCAGTGTCAGTACATGTGATCGGTTTTGGTGGAACGTACGCTCTAACATAACACATTTAAATCTATATATTTATACATGTATATATATATTTAGAATCTAATGAAGGTAGGAATATCAAATTAAATGACGTTACGTTACACTATATAACCCCCCCCCCCCTTTTTTTCCCCATAAAAAAAAAATTGATAGAAAAACAACACATCAGAACAATAACAAGAAAGAAAAAAATACACACTAACAAAATAAAACACCACAAAGAGGGAAAAATAAAAGTAACTGTAACGTATTCAACAAATCAACGTAGTGACAACATCAACAAGTGAGAAAGAGACGAAGTGAAGCTAGGTGAACTTTCTTTCAAAAGTAAAGAGGTTCGGTTTCTTTCTTTTTTTCTTTTTTTTTTTTTCTTTGACTTTTATTTTCCAATTTGGGGACCAAAAAATGCCAAAAGATTGAGCCACGATTGATTGGTCGCGGCCGCGACAAACGCAGATATCTATGCTAGTTCTAGATCTATGTGTCGTTATCAATTTAAACCCTCCGTAGATCTAGACTAGACAGCACACGAGTGAACACAACACATTAAGTTTAAGAGCAGCACCCTTCATAGGCAACACGTCATATCTGTAGCGAAAAACTGTTTGGAACTGTAGCATTTTTTTATGAATATTTACTGCGGACATTTTTTGGACCGATTGAACCATATTGTATACGAACAATCTTTGGTAGGCCTATACTATAATTATAGATGGTATTTTTTTACTTTCCCTCCCGTCTCACACTCAGCTACCAGTTGTCTATTTTCTACTAAATATTGATGCGCTGAACACGAATATCAACTTCATTTCCGTCGCAAATTAATGGTTTTTGAAATATTTGATTGTTTTTAACCGAGATAGACGTGCTTTGGACCAATCGGGGGGTTCCAGGGGGGCCTGCCCCACTGGGGTAAAAGAAAATCTGGGGGGTTACAGGGGGGCATGCCCCCCTGTTTTTACACCCATAATTTGATATTTTACAGTTAGATTTGAAATTCTCTTGAAAATAATTGATTTGCGACAGTTTTAGTGGCTTTATGTGTGATCTGCAGCAAACAGTACAGCAGTTTGACCCCTGAAACAGTGCATCTGTGTGCGGGAGTGAAAGTAAAAATTTACCTTATAGATCTAGATCTAGAATCTATATAACATCGGAAATTTGCGGAAAGGATGAGATTTCAGAGTGTTCGGAGAAATAGTGCCCAGCTTTATTTTTCCGAAAGTTCGGAGAAATGGTGCGTGCCGGCCATAATTATTCGACTCGCAGCTCAATCTTAATTAACGATTGCACCAATTGGTATTAGCGCAGAACACATACGCTTCTAGCCTAACGTAGCCATCATAGCCATAACAAAAACATCAAAATAAGATGAAGTGAGGCAGGCTCAGCAGTTACAGAGAGAGAGAGAGAGAGAGAGAGAGAGAGAGAGAGAGAGAGAGAGAGAGAGAGAGAGAGAGAGAGAGATGAGCCCACGCCACACACACACAAAAAACACGTTGAGTGACAGTTGATAACATCTGACTGTCAAGAAAAATTAAAAGCTGTTAACCATACCTGCAGAACCTCGGTTAAATAGTGTAATAACAACGGAGACAAGAGTAGATCTAGATTCTAGATTCTAGTTCTAGTAGATCTCTCAACGACAATAAAACTGTTCTCAATGCTGTTCAAGGAATTTACAACACAGGAACAGGTGTGAAAGGGAAATTCGTAAATGAACAACTTCCGCTTTACTATACTATTTTTAACCAAAAGATTTTCCCGATAATGCACCATGCCAAATATAAAAATACGGAACATTAATTAAAATGACAGGACAAAACAAGATCCACGTGGATCAAAACAGTATTATAAACTTATAAACTACAGTCACCTTTGCTCAAGGGCCCTGCAGAATAAAAGTAAAGTAACAGCCAACAACTGAGTTGATGAAGAAGTGACAGGCAATAGAAATAACGAATTACATTTATATTATTAGGCTACTTGAGGCCTATTTGCAAGACTTTCCCATCAGCCATGCTCTGATTGGTTACAAGGTTTCACACATGACATGTACGTGCATAGTGCATACTTTTAATCTCCTTGGCATAGGCCTAGATCTACATACCCACCAAGGAGTTTAGAACTAAATACCCACATAACACATGCATACGGATCTAGGCGAGATTCTTCTGTCAAAGCTAATCATAGACGTACGATATAGGCAGTTCTATTTATAAACTCTTTGGCGCTAATCTACCATTTTCCCAATATCTAGTCAAGATCTATAAGATGAATGCTTTGTGAGCGAAACAAAACAACCCCCTCCCCCCCCCCCCCCCCAATCCAAAAAAAAAATGAAATCGGAGGCTTCTTAAATGACAACGCCCATTTTTTTAAAAAGACTTGTTGCTATATTTTTTTTTCTTTGGTGGGGGGGGGGGGGGGTACATATATAGGCCTAGGCTTATTCAATTATGTCTCTGTGTCGAGAAGACTAAAATAAGAAAGACAAGATCTAGAGATCTGGGCAATTAAGTCAAGCGCTATGCCTAATGATTTCCTGCACCTTGAACGTTCATTTACAGTTTTATAAAGATCATAATTTATAATATTATTATGGAAAAGAGCTGCGTATACATTTTAGAAAATAGTTTATTATTGATGTATAAAAGAGCATGTCGTTTAGGCCGACATTTTTTTATGACTTATTATTCATAGTTTTAATTTTAAGAAAAAGAGCACGCGCGCGTTACATTGTCTATAAATCATTAATAATATAAGTGGGAAAGAGAGTTTCAATTGTAGAAGACCCACTGGCATTTAGGTCCTCTTTTGATTTAGAAAACAAGTGGTTCTTGATAATTAGGCCAATACTTTTAATCTATTATCCCAGCCAGAATGATGTAGGCTACATGTGTCGGGCTGGTATCATCATAATATTATTATGAAGTCTCTAGAAAGTTGGGGGGGGGGGGGTTTCTTTCTCTTTATTCTTTCTCCCCCCACCCCACCACCTTTCCTTCGCACTGAGTTGCATGACATTATTTAGCATTCCCCCGAATATTAAAAGATAATTATGGAAACCTGTTCCGAATAACCCTATTATTATTATTATTATTATTGTTATTATTATTATTATTATCATCATCATCATCATCATCATCACCATCATCACCATTATTATTATTATTATTATTATTATTATTATT